TGCGATGCTGTTTTTGCGATTGCAAAAGCGATCGCTTTCCGATGTTTCCTAGGGGGGAATTTCACTTTGCGATGATCGCATGGAAGCGATCATCGCAAAGCCCCATTTTCGGCCAGCTGACCGGCGGTTCCAAAATGGCTGCCTGATAAACAAAATAGCCACCTGCTGTGTTGCCTCGCTTTAGAGCACCCAAAATGGCCACCGCAATGGAGGATCTTCGCATAAGGTCAGTTTTCAAGCCCATAGGAACGCATTAAACACGTTTTAATGCGTTTCTATGGGCTTTTTTATTTCCCTTAGCGAAGAAATCCCTTAGCGACTTTTTTCCTGGAACAGATTAACGTCGCTAAGCGAGGCACCACTGTATTTTAAATTTGCATGGAATCATTCAAATAAAAATATTATAATAATCCCCCTACCAAAAAGGGGGGGGTAGGATAAAAAAGTTTTTATGGACTCTATTTCATTTCACCAAGTGTCCCTATAGGATGCAATTCTCTAAAATAAAATATACTACTCTGTTTACTTTAGACAAAATTTTACTTCTTCAAACATTTGGATTTTTTTTTAAAACTTTCATTTTGAGGGACTGGTGAGCCCCGCCTCCCATGCAAGTGCCAGAGGGGATACTGAACTCCTCCAAAATTCCCCCTTCAAATTTAACAGGTAACATGAATGTCTGAATGGGGCAGCCCACATTTTCCAATCTCTAGGAAGCCCCCTAACAAAATAAGAGAAATGAAAAGCCAAGAAAACATTCTATACTTTGACTTCATTATTAATATTATGAGGAATGGGAAGCTTAAAAATAAGATGAAAGGCCATGGGAAAGAATATGAGGGAGAAATAAATCATTTACTGGAATGTTCAGAGTGGAAAGTTTTCGAATTCAAAGGCTGCTCTTGATGTATACAGCTATTCAGGTACTCAGCAAGAGAAATGAGAGCCCTTGGTCTGTAGCCCAGCTGGTTGCCAGCTAAACACACAACAGGGTACTTTCACTTATTTGTGTAGCTGTCTTCCATCCTCCATGGCTGTGTGTCCCTCATCACATAAGTAATGGCCTTGTATCCCTGTTGGAGGGAGGGGAGGAAGAACCCAATTCTACTGCAGCTCTACAGGAACCCCTCTGCTTCCAGTTAGTAAAGAAAGCTGAGGGACAGCAGGGGGTAAGATCAGTTCTCCAGCACAGCATAATCAGGCATTTACTTCCCTAGCACAGCCTAATTACTCATCCAGACAAAATACAGGACAGCAGCAAGAAAGAACAGTTAGTAGCAACAAAACAAAACAAAACATGAGAGTTACAGACCAAGTAGTTATTTATTTATAAGCTCTTTACTAACTGCTTTTCAGACAAAGCTCCAGAGTGGTTTGCTAGAATAAAATGAAGTAGTACAATAAACTACGAACCTGTCAGAGATAAATTGGAAAAAGTTCCAACGTAATAAATTTCAGGAAGATTTAAAAACAAAAGAAAACTTAAACCTGGGCAAACAGAGAGGCTTTCACGTGGCACTGTACAGAGAGCAAAGACAGCACCAGGTAAACAGTTCCAATGATGGGGTGCCACAACTAAGAAGGCTGTGTCTTCAGTCACTTTCTACCTTACTTCAGACATTAGGGGGATTTGGAGCAGGATCTTAGCAGACCAGTCTCAGAATCATGGCCATGTCATTGCAGGGCCTGTGCCCTATCTGCGGGGAACCAGGAAAAACAGTGTGATGGAGAAAAGCCAGCAGGACAGTACACACAACTGGAGCAAAGAGTAAGAATGCGGACAGCTACTATCTAAGGACACTAGCTTTGTTTAAAAAAGCAGCAGCCCCAGACTGATTAGGCTGAAGAGTGGGGTTAAGTGCAGAGACTCTGATAAAAGCAGGTTTCTGCATCAGGAATGGAGGGCGGAGACGAAATGTTCAGATGAGAAGATAGCAATGCAGGACTCTCCAGGAAAAAAGCAGCCTCATTAGTGCCAAAGCTGGGGTTGCTCGAGGGCCATCTAAGAATAGGGTTGCCAGACGTCTGGCAAAAGGAGGACATGTCCTCCTTTTTAGCCTAATGTCCTCCATCTGGCAGGCAAAGATTAAAAACCTTTAAAATGTCTGGCTTTTGTATATTTTATGTTATGATTTTGGATGGGAGGGGAAGAGGTGGAAGGACCCCCCTCCGTCTGTCTTTCCCCACCCCACTTACCCGCCCCCGTTACCTGCCGCCAGAAAACAGCCCTCACCCCCTCCTGCCGCAGCTGCTCGGCAATCTGCTATTCCCGCCCAGCCCACATGGAGCCCAGAAATCCAAAGCAGAGCGCCCCCTGCTGAGCCGGGCAGGAGCAAGCAGCACCTAAGCACATCAATGGGAAGGCGAGCATCTGGACTGTGTGTGCCCAAAGCAGAGCGCCCCCTGCCAAGCCAGGCAGGAGCAAGCAGTGCCTAAGCACATCAATGGGAAGGTGAGCATCTGGACTGTGTGTGTTCAAAGTCCCTTTTGGGGACTCCAACTCCCACACTCCCCAGCCTTGAACTTATGACCCTCAGGGGAGGGGAGGCTGCCTTGTTCGGCTTTGCCCGGAGCTGCTTTCCCCCTGCCTGCACCAGAGCTTTGTTTGGGTGTCCAGATTAGCAAGGTTGCCTCTGAGCCTGTGCAGAATGCGAGCGAATGGAAGATCCCACAGCCGGGCTGGGGTAAGTTTGGGTTTATTTGCTTTGCTCCCGATCGGAAGCCGGTGTTTCTTGGTAGGCCCCCTTCCTGTTTGTTAAATGAAACATTCAATATCGCCTCCTCTGTCCTCTCTTTTTGTCTTTCTATGTCCTCCTTTTGGTACCCATGTGTCACACACCACCATCTCCTCTGTTTGTTTTCCTCCCTAATTACTCTGCCACCAGAGGATTCCTTCCTCAGTTACCAATTATGAACACAGAATCACTGATGTCAAATATAACAAAGTTTATTTAAAGATTATCAGATGAAACACGCAAAGAAAATCATGGATGATATTGTAGCTGCAATTCATTAAACCTCTTTTGATTTACAATGAAACATGTAAAGAAAATCATGGATGATATTGTAGTTGCAATTCATTAAACCTCTTTTGATTTACACATATGTTGATTATTTATATTCATTTTTTTCATGGTGTAACTGTTTATTTAATTCTTATAACTTTCACTTCTTTCAGTTCTCTCATACATTAACTCCCCAAGTGTTCTCTTTTAAATCCTATCTTTCCTGTCTATCTATACCTCCATATATCCCTATCCTTCTTCTCTCTAACTCTTCCCCTGTCCTAGCTTTTAACAACTGTCCACCCTAACTGATTCCAACTGTCCTCCTTTTCTCTCTCTCTCTCTCTCTCTCTGTGTCAGTCTGGGCAGGGATGGCAAGTACTTTGAATATTGTTCTTTCACCTTTTAGAGGAAACAAAATTAAGAGCTCCAACAAAATCTAACGCGATGGACAGGCATGACATTAGGACTGTCTGTCATACCATGTATCTGGCAACCCTGTCTAAGACAGTCCGTGACCAGGTCTGCAGTCCTGAAGGGACTTAACCCTAACAACAGGCAGAATCAACCTACCCCATGGGAGTGAGATTTCCCACATTCTCTTAGAGGAGTGAGGGTGTCTGATAGGAGCTGAGGCATCCAGCCTTGCCAACAGGCAGGTTCATGCAGGAGAATATGGCTTTTCAGCAACCCTGCACCCCAGGCTTTGCAGACATTTTAGCTAAAACTAGATCTTTGAATGACATCTGAAGGTAGACCACATGCCAGTCTGATACAATGCCTGGCCCTGCTGTCAGAGTTCCTGTTTCAAGACTCGTAATACCTTGCAAATCTATTAACTCATGTATAAATAAAACTACCTTCTCATTAAAATCCACAGGACTGTTTTTGAATATGGCAGCTACCGCTTTTATCCTCAGAGTGCCTATATGCTAAATATTGGTGGGCCACTCACCAAGTCTCCAATTTCTTCCCTTTTTTGCTTCATCAGTTCTAAACTTGTATTGGACTGGGTAGCCTTCCAGCTGGAGCAGTCATTCCCAACCTTGGGTCCCCAGATGGTCTTGGACTACAACACCCAGAAATCCTGGCTAACATAGCAAGTGGTGAAGGTTTCTGGGAGTTTTAGGTCCAGAATATCAAGGGACCACAAGTTGGACCACTGAGCTAGAGGATGCTTTTGAAGATACAAGGTTTTCTGACAATCCTTCAAATAGAGGACTGTCCACTGTAATTTAGGATGCATGGCTGCCTTATTGAGAATATCTTTGCAACTGCACAGAATAAAGTCAATATCAGGTGAGACAGATTTTTTTTAAAAGGGTAGTAATCAGATATTAATTGTTCAAAGAAAACTATTCAGAACTACATCTGGTATCTCCCTTCCTTGGAAAATCTGAGTGAATTGTGGGCATTTCGAGACTTGAGTGGGTCCAAAATATAGCTTAAAAACCATGGGTAGAGGGAGTCTTGTGCCCTTTGGAGGCATCTGGGTGGCAGTCATGTGGAACAAGTCCAGCCCATTGTCGACTTGATTATCTAATTACTATATATCCCATATTTCTCCCCTTAGCTAAAACAAGAGCACCACTTACTCATTTATGTGCCATTGCCACACCATTTCATTTTGCTTTCTAATCATGTATTTTAATTGTATTTTAACTGTATTTTAATCATTTTATTTTATTGAATTTTAATTATTGTAAGCCGCCCAGAGACCTCTGGGTAGAGTGGGTGGCATATAAATTAAATAAATGAATAAATGAATAAATGAATAAGAAATTTGAAAAATGTCGTTTCTTTTTCAAAATGGCAGCACTCCACTTTTTAAATGAAAGAGACAACTCATGCATGTCCATTTTGTCACAATTCCATTGTATGTTTTTCATTACTGCAAAAGCAATACAACAGACCAACGCATTGAACAGAAGACTGTGCTCCTGTGAAGATTCCAAAATATCTGGATTCATCCTTAGCAAGAAGCCAGTTCCCTACCTTCAAAGCCAACTGGTGTAGGATCCTGTGTTGGCCTTTCTGCATAATATCCTTCTCCTCTGCCTCTGTCAATGAGCAGATTGCCTGCATCTGGACTGTGGTCTCGAGATGTCTTCTCTTCATTGACTGGAACACAAAAAGCAGTCTGGTTTATGACTGTGCAGAGATGGTGAGTTGGCCTGGCAAAGTGAGGAGAACAACAGCTGGTGGTGGATCAAACTGGGCCAAAGGTTTACAACCATAACACATCGTGGTGTTAAAAGGAAGGGCAGTCTGGCAACCACTGCGGCTCTGGGATCTGCAACAAATGGAGCAGAAAAACAGGAGGGAGGGAGGAAAGAATACTGAAGATGCTAAGAAGGTGAAGGTGTGTGATTAGTATCAGAAAAATTATGGTGCATTCCATTTAATTGTCCAGTTCCAATGTGTGTATTTTTCAAATGGTAGAGTGGAACTCTTCTTCAGTTGCAAGGCAACAGCTATAAATAATTAAAAACTGCAAAAGCTAAAATTCAACCATGCTGGCATTTGGCGGTTAGAACGCAAAAAGTGCAAGCAAATGGAACCCATTAGAAATAAAGGATAGTTTTGCAGATGGCAGGCTCTCTATATATACAGAGGTTATAAAACAGCTATTGAAGGGACACAGCAACTTTACATCAGAAGAGAAACTGGCTGTAGGAATATTTAACACAAAACATTGTGGATCATCTGAATGGTCAAAGAACTACTGGCAAGGAAAAAAAACCAAAAGAAACAGCATGACATTTCACACACCACTGTTACCAAATAGTTACAAATGTAACTGCAATTCAATAAAGGCAGTGAAGTATTTCAACTTTATAAATGTGCTTAATGTCATGCAATATATATGATAGGTATCCGCTCCATAAGAACAATGATTCTTCAGTTACAAAGGCAGTGGGGTCTTACCAAATTGCCAGGTTGCTAAATGAAACCCTTGGGGCACTTAGGAAAGCTTTAAGACTGAAAGCCTTGTATCAGTTTCCCAGGCAGCCACTACTTCCTGGGGTGGTGGCTGGAGGGTAACTTTACTCTGTCTAGTCTGTTCCAATATTGAATGTAGTAAGGAGGTTGGTTTGGCATGTAAGGTAAAGGTAAAGGTTCCCCTTGACAATTTTTGTCCAGTCATGTTCGACTCTAGGGGGTGGTGCTCATCCCCGTTTCCAAGCCATAGAGCCAGCGTTTTTGTTTGAAGACAATCTTCCGTGGTCACATGGCCAGTGTGACTTAGACACGGAACGCTGTTACCTTCCCACCGAGGTGGTCCCTATTTATCTACTTGCATTTTGCATGCTTTCGAACCGCTAGGTTGGCGGGAGCTGGGACAAGCGACGGGAGCTCACTCCATCGTGTGGATTCGATCTTACGACTGCTGGTCTTCTGACCCTGCAGCACAGGCGTTTAGCCCACAGCGCCACCACGTCCCTTCATTGAATGTAGTAGCCAGCAGCTATTCTATTACAGTTAGGTCATTTGTTTCGTAACTAAAATAAAACAGATAAAATAAAGTAGAGAGACACTTAACCAGACACTTTGTATGGTTAAGGTGAGCTGTTGCACACCTCCACCCCTACCTTCAAAACAAGCAACAGGAAACAAGCTTTACTGGCTGCAGCAATTTCTGCAGATGTTGCATTAGATGTGACAAATACAGTCTAGCTGGACCTTATTACAATGCCCTACTCCTAAGTTACTAGTTGCAAGTGATGATGTTACTTGTAAGAAACTATTTTCAAGCATTGCCCATCAAAAAGATCACAGGCTCACTCACTTGTAAGGTAACAGTCCAGGCTGAGTGACACATTATTGAAAGCAAGAATGGCTTCGGATCCAGTCTTCCAGGATGCAATAATCTGAAGCCAAAACCTATGAAGAATAAAAGAAGTTGTCAAATGCTGGCAGATAAAACTCAGATCCTCACAAATGTGTTTAAAACTTTTCTCATGATAGATTCAATCCAGCATCGGAAAGAGAAAGAGAAAGCATTGAATTCTAACAGGTTATATGGCACCCTAGTGTGAAACAAATCAACTGTTGCAAGGGAAATGGGTATCCAGAGAGGACACAGTCTCAAAGGTACTTTTAAGAAAGATCGGTGGCTGCAACAAAATGAAGAGTGGCATTGTGTGAAAGTAAGCATAGTGATGCATATAATAATTTTTTGTGGACAGTCTTGTAATATGGGTTGTCTCATTAACAGCGAACCCTGCCACCCCAAGTTCCTTGCAAGTGCCTGCAAGGTGACCTGGTTTAAGTGCATTGTCAGAGAGCCAACACCACCTATTAAGCCCAACTTTGGTTTCTCACATAAAGGGCTGTGAGAGGAGGTGGTTGCTCAGGCTGAATGTTAGAAGTTATTGTTGCTGTGGAATCAGCAGACACTATAGAAACATATTCCACACCTATCTCTAGAATCTGTAACTGTCAAAAAGTGTCTTGGCTTGGGCACGTCGTGAGAATGGCTGATGGCCGGATTCCAAAGGACCTCCTGTATGGAGAATTAGTGCAGGGAAATCGCCCCAGAGGGAGACCACAGCTGCGATACAAGGACGTCTGCAAGCGAGATATGTAACTGTCAAAAAGTGTCTTAATAGTACCTCAGGAGGACAGTGAGCATAGCCAGAGGCTGTTCAAAGTATCTGGTATTCAAAAGTATACTGCCTCTGAACATGGAAGCTTCATTTAGGAGGACCTCCTATAATTATGTCTATCCTGGCATCCAAATAAACATGGATGCTATTTTTAAATTCAACATCATTACCCTATTGCATATATTCAGGAAACTAACAGATGGTGGATGGAATTCTAAAATAGTTCTGTTTGTTCATTAAATTAGTAGATTCAATTCTTTTTAAAAATCATCTAGTTTATGAATATGGGATATGGTGCTTCTGTATCCATGATTCAAAATGCCAGGAAATGGCCTGATACTGCTACACAATATTGTGCCTGTGTTGCCAGCAGGAGAAAGGAAGCTAAGGATTACATAGCAAAAGTCATCCTGAATGTTGACAACACCAATGGCAGCAGTCAAAATGGTCTGCAGGGTACCTTTTAAGGGAAAATCTAACCCCCTGTTTCATCGGTTAATCAATTCTCACCCAAACACAAAGCAATTGTTAGGACTGATTTTCGACAAGTGTGAATGTACAGCATTATCAGGACATTTCCTGGTATTTTAAATCAGATATACAACAAACTGAAGAAGAAAAACAGCCACCCACAAATAAAGTATTTCTGCCATACATCAAAGGGGTCACGGACCACATGGGGAAACTTTTGAAAAAATCCAACCTACAAACAGTATTTAAACCCACCACAAAAATACAACAAATGTTATGGTCAGCATAGGACAGAAGGGACCCCTCACCACTGCAGGAGTATACCGGATACCTTGCAGTTGTGGCCAGGTATATATTGGAACCACAAAATGAAGCATCCACACTAGAATCAAAGAACATGAGAGACACTGCAGACTAAAACAACCAGAAAAATCTGCAGTAGCTGAACATGCTCTAAAACAAACTGGACATGAAATTCTATTTCAAAATACTGAAATACTGGACAACACCAGCAATCATTACGTCAGACTGCACAGGGAAGCCATTGAAATCCACAAGCACCAGCAGAACTTCAACAAAAAAGAGGAAAGTTTAAAACTCAACAAAACTTGGCTTCCAGCTCTGAAAAATACAGTGTGCAAAAGGTCAACGAACTCTACCCAGCCACAAGGACCGGGGATCACTACACACAAAAGACCAGCTAATGACACCCATCAATCACAGTGACAGATAATCTCTCCTCCTTATCACAACAATACACCCACAACAGGACACACTAATCACCCATCTCCTGAAAAGGACAAAAGCCTGTCTCACAGCCATAAATACTCAACTCCCAAGCAAACTGCACCAGAGCACAGAGTGCTGTCCTCTGAAGATGCTGGCCATAGAGACTGGCAAAACATTAGGAAGAACAACCTTCAGCACACAGCCAAAGAGCCTGAAAAACCCAAAACAACCAGTAATTTCATACCTTTAACAAGTGAGCTTCTGAATATTTGTTTTCTGTTCTTTTAAAAACATTTTTAAAATATATTTAAAATGGGATACGAAATCTCTTTGCCAATACCAATGCCTGTTTGACCAAGAAAGAGTTTAAAAGTTCTCCTCCTGAGAGTCAGTTAATTGGGTCCTGACAGGCATGGTCTAACATTCAGTTTACCTCAGACCTGGAGCTGATTTCACCTTTGAACACTGGTGTCAGGAGCCAGGTTTCAGAAAAGTTTACTGAAAATGTTCAGGATTGGACAAACATGTGCTTTTGTAATGCAGAAATGAATACGCCTTACAAAATTGTATGCTAATCCTGGATATGCATGGCAAAATGTCCCTTTCTATGGGACTGTCACTGCCTTAATTTCTTTAAAGCAAGCCTGGGTTTTTTGACTCTTCATAGAAAACCTGTCTTTTGACTGTTTCTGTGATCTTTCATTATCCTCCAAACATCTCTCTTGCAAAGTTTAAAAAGCTAAGTTTGTATAAATACTGTGTATATGGGGGAGGAAAATTAAGGGATCCAGTGTACCACTTTATGCTGGAGGTGGTCAACCCGGCCGCAAAAATTAATTAAAATGATTTCTTTTTTGTAGTTGTCTCTATGATTACTTCTATTTTATAGGTCCATGTTTTCATGCCAGACTGAAGAATAGGAAGTAAAAGAAAAAGCAGAGTATAACCTGCATCCTCAAAGCCAACTTTAAATGTTTCTTGCTGATTACATTCCTCATCTTCAGGAAATTGTTCTGGGCTAAATGCTGCCAATCAATCAATTTAATAGAGGTGATTAATAACCTGTAGAAAGCTCATGCCATCTTTTTTTATCTATCAAATATATATAATATTTATGCATGTTAAGCTGACAACAACCAAAGTTATAATCAAAGTGTGAAATGCTTATTGATTTTGATAACCGTGATTGTTCAAATAGAGTTCTGAAATATTTTCTGAGCCCATGGGAATTCTAGTGTATTGCAAATCAACAGGCGAATTAGGATTACAGTTAGAGTTGGAGTTCATGTATTTATTTGCAAGTGTTTTATTTCTTGAAATCAATGAATATTCCAGTAGTTCTCCAAAGAGACCAATTTACTGACAGTTGGAATGCAACATCATGTCTCCTTCAGGGCATCATCATTCACTAAAAATGGCATGAGGCATTGGCTGGGCTAAAGAAAACACTATCCCAATAGCACAAAACAATAATTTACTGGAATAACTTTTTTTGTGTCTAAAAAAACCCAAAACCTGTGCATGGCAGGTGGCTGAAACTTGAGAATACTGTTTCCAGCTCTTCAGGTGATGATGTCATAAAAAGTACCTGTTAATTATAATTTTGTTTTAATTTTGCAACAAAATATAACTGGGCTTCTAAAATGAGTCATCTGAGTGAATGAAAGCTAACTGATGTTTGACGGCCTCCTTTTTCCCACCACTGGCAAAGCAGAACAGACATGGAATGAATGAATGAATGAATGAATGAATGAATGAATGAATGAATGAATGAATGAATGAATGAATGAATGAATGAATGAATGAATGAATGAATGACTTTTCATGGTGCAGTGTAAATCTTGTCTCTATCACATTAACCAATTAAAGTCCATTTGAATATCTTCTTTGTAAGGAAGAGTCAATTTTAGAGAGAAATTGATACAACTGATATAATGGATACTTCCTCTTTTCTTCCAAAATTTCAAGCTGATCTGGGAGGTTGGTTTGGCATGTAAGGTAAACGTAAAGGTTCCCCTTGACATTTAGTCCAGTCATGTCCGACTCTAGGGGGCGGTGCTCATCCCCGTTTCCAAGCTGTAGAGCCAGCGTTTGTCCGAAGACAGTTTCCGTTGTCACATGGCCAATGCGGCTTAGACCCAGAACGCTGTTTTACCTTCCCACCGAGATGGTATCTATTTATCTACTAGCATTTACATGCTTTCGAATTGCTAGGTTGGCAAGGAGCTGGGACAAAGCAATGGGAGCTCACTCCACCGCGTGGATTAGATCTTACGACTGCTGGTCTTCTGACCCTGCAGCATACAAAGGCTTCTGCTGTTTAGCCCGCAGTGCCACCACGCTGCATGTGCATGTACACACTCCAGGAGTTGTGTACATGCACACAACTCCTGGAGAATCACTGTAGGGACAGTTTGTTCACCAGGGAGAAATGGACAAAACGCTTACATTAAGGAACAGAATTTCAGCCAATGATTGTTTTAAAATCTTGGGACATTACTGACAACTTATTCTAAGCACCATTTGTGTTTATTTCCTCCTTTTGCACTGCTTTAAACCTTCTATCTTTGCTGTCACTGCAAGATTGATCCCCTTATGAGAAGTCAGACATTGAGTTAAGGAGGGAAGGAACACAAGAATAACCGTCCTGCTAAATGATGAATGGTACAGGCATAAAAAAAGCTGGCCATACAAATTGCTTGGTAAATGGGATGGGTTAATACCTGCCCTGTGTTATATCTCTACAACTCCCATCAAACTGATGGACTAGCCTCATTAATTCCAGCTGAAAGGATGCAATGAGTAGCAGACTGCACAGTCTGTTCATCTTGTATTTAGCAGGTTACTTAGGTGGCCAATTAGGGGAGGGTGGATTCATGGCTCCTGTTTTTCAAGGCAGAAGCACAGCTTTTCTATTCTTCCTCTGGAAGGGAAGATCCAAAAATTATACTAAACTGCAGGAAAAGACAACAACATCTGTAAATAGGCTCCAAAATGAAAGGAACTAATATATAACCCCTGGATATATAATGGATGAAATCAAATGTGAGATTAATTCATATCTTTATTTTTTGT